CCACGAGGCCAGCGTCCCTGGGAGGGCGGTCTGCTCGCCGCCCGCCCCCGACGTGGACGGAACCTGTGGGTGACGAGGGCGGGTACCTCCGCTGAAGTAGAGGTTTGACAAGGTAGCTGATCATCAGTTTATGCTCTAAATACACACGGCTTTGTTTGCCAATTACGCCTCCGACAACGGGAGGCAGCCGGCAGGTGCGAGCCAGTCGGCTCCGAGCAGTTGGGGGTGGGGCTGCCGGTCAGAGCGACGTGCACATTTGCCCTGGGCCTCTGAGGTCCAGGATGCAGGTTCTGGGGAGAGTTCTGGTGCTTCTGTGGCCTCCTCCTTCCTGGAACGGGGCTGTGCTGCGTGTCGGCCAGGGAGGGAGGCCGCGCCCCCTGTGTGCAGCCCGGCCGGACACCGGCTTCCGACAGCGGCCCCGAGAGACGATGGTTTTCCATCTGCAACTTTAAAAAAATTTTTAAATATGTTTTTATTTATTATTTATAAAAAAAAAGTTTTATTGATCTCAGAGAGGAAGGGAGAGGGAGAGAAATAGAAACATTAATGATGAGAGGGAATCATGGATCGGCTGCTGCCTGCACGCCCCACACTGGGGCATGTACCTGGGTTTCAGGTTCGGTCCCAGGCCCCGGACCTGCCTAACCAGCAGCCCCAGTGGCGGCCGGGCTGCGTCTTTCATCCGGGGGAGCCCTCTGCTCAGTGTGAGCGCGTCTCTGGGAGGCTCTCATCCCCTGGGGCGGGGCAGGGGGCGTTAGGTGCAGGATCAGTAACTTCACTCACCTCAGAGGCGCAGACAGGCAGTTCAGAAACTAGACCCCACGCACTTAACAACCAGGCCCTTCTCTGCCCCCAGATCCGGGACCACCAGCCGCGGCCCCTACTCGGCCCATGTGAGGCCAGTGTGTGGTGCTGGCGCGCAGGGAGGAAGGAAGGTGGGCCTGGGATGCTGGGGCCTCCACACGCCGACCTGGTTTGGGGCGGTCAGCCCGGGGGCCCTGGAGGGCAGGGCTGTGAAATCACGATGGTTTCGGCGGGAAGCCTGCACGGTCAGCCCAACTGACACCTGCCGCTCGGGCTCGGCCGGAGGCCCCGGGGAGGGTCCCGCAGGGATTCAGACATGGATTTAGTCCGACGGTCAGTTCTCGGCTGAGTGGAACGTGGACTTTCTCACTAAGTCCAATCCGACCTGCCTAACCAGCAGCCCCAGTGGCGGCCGGGCTGCGTCTTTCATCCGGGGGAGCCCTCTGCTCAGTGTGAGCGCGTCTCTGGGAGGCTCTCATCCCCTGGGGCGGGGCAGGGGGCGTTAGGTGCAGGATCAGTAACTTCACTCACCTCAGAGGCGCAGACAGGCAGTTCAGAAACTAGACCCCACGCACTTAACAACCAGGCCCTTCTCTGCCCCCAGATCCGGGACCACCAGCCGCGGCCCCTACTCGGCCCATGTGAGGCCAGTGTGTGGTGCTGGCGCGCAGGGAGGAAGGAAGGTGGGCCTGGGATGCTGGGGCCTCCACACGCCGACCTGGTTTGGGGCGTGTGTTCTGGCCTCTGAGGCTTGTCATCCCGGGACCCCACAGGCCGCCTGCCTTTTCGGAGCAGGTCCCCTGAACCGTTCCCCTGTGGCATCGCTGTGACCCTGGGGGAGACACAGGCCAGGAGGGTCGCTGGCCCTGCCCAGGCAGCCCCCTGGGGAGACCCGGATGCCCCAGCCCACATGCCCCAGGCCCAGGCCCCGCCCCTCATCCCAC